GAAATGGGAAGTTTTGCGGTGGTTTCTGGTGGCGTCTCCTTCTCCTTCTCTTTCTGTCCCTGCCTCTAAAGCCTCACAAACACCTCGGCGCGCTCGGCTGGCAGCAATGGGGTTTCGGCTCCCTCGCCGCAGCCGCCTCGCGCCCCGCCGCTTCGCCCGGCTTTTAATTTTCCTGAAATTTCCCTTTTGCCCGGGAGATTTTCATATATATAGCGACGCCTGGAAATAGCCTTGGCCGTATCTCGGGCCGCTAAGCCCGCAGGCAGCCGCGTCCTGATAGATGCTGCAGAAATAGGAGTTCGGGGGATTAAAGCCGGGCTTGGCCGTGGCGGCCGCGACCGTCGCCTCTGCCCTGCGCTGAGGTGCCCGGCTCCATCCAAGCCCCTCGCACACGTCCTTGGTTAGCAGGGACGGCAATTTGGGGTAAATTTGGGATAGAAGGAGGGGTCTGCGAAGCCACATCAAGGCTCATCCCGTGGCAGCCGCGGCGCCGGCCCCGCTGCTGATAAATCTAATCCGGGAGGCTGGAAATGAGGCGAGGGGAATTCTGATGGAAATTATGCACCAGCCCTTCGACAAGCTCATAAACACCGCGGCCACGATAAGTTTTTCCATTTTTTTTTCCCCCCGCCTTTCTAAGACCTGCCGCGAGTGTCTAAGCCCGCACTCTAATTTTTGCAGCCCGAGGTCTGGAGATCTGTCACGGGGAGATAGAAGGGAAAGAGTAATTGCCTGGTGGCCGCGCGAGCCGGCGCGCGGGAGCATGCGGGGCCGCCGGCGCCCGTGATTGATGCTGGCCGGAGGCGCGGGCCGGGAACCCATTTTTCCCGTTTTTTCCCCCATTCCTGGCCCCGCGATCCCGTTTTCTCGCTGTTAATAAGGGTATTCCCGGGCTCCGCGCAGGGCTCCGCGTGGCCGGCGGGACGGCGCTGCCGCTTCCTCGCGCTCCGGCTTTTACTACTTCGCATTCAACTGTGAAAAGTCTTTTAAAACTCGGAGCGGCAGTAAAACTTGAATGAATTTTTGACCCATTATAGCGGCGCGAGTGCGCTTTCCAAGCCGCCGCCGCTGCCAAGTCCTCCCCACCTAATATTTCCACTTTAATTGTGCCACTTGAGAAATTTACGTGCCTCAAAATATGGCATGAATCTTACGCTTATTGCAGTATCATTAGCAGCAACATTTAAGCAACATCTGTGTGCTATAGAACTAATTGAAGTAGCAGAAGTGGCAGCTGTAAATCCACAGGAAGATGGCAGTTTGCACCCAGCACTGCTGAGTTAGCTGGTAACTGTCAGCCTGTTCCCGCAATCTGCTCCCGAGCAGCGCCGAACCGGCGCGCACTGTCCAAAAAAATACAGCGAGGAGGCTAATGATCCTATTAACCACTTTGCTGCACCCATTTGGCTGTTTTTCCGCTCTCCTCGTTGGATTTCATTATATATCTCACTGTGCCGGGGAGAAGTCCAGCGCGAGCTGCCGCTGGGCGACTTCACTCGCTCCCTGCGCGCCGGGTTATTTTTTCATTACTTTTTCCAGATTTCATGTGTTTGTCAGACTTTGCAGCTCCTTAATTTTCCTTTTCCCCACGCGCACTATTGGAAGAGGGATAATGTGGAGCGGCGACACGTCCTTCCCGTGGGCTCCAGGGCTCCGGAGGCTCCACGGCCCCGCGTGGCGCCGGCTGCATTGCAGCATCCCCATCAGGGCCCTTCTTTCCAGGGGAAGCTCCGCTCCAAACCCAGGATCGTTCGCTGGGAATCCCGCACGTTTCCATGCTGGATGTGGCGCTCGCTTGGGCCCCGCTGCTGGGAAAATCAATAGCCACGTGGCGGGGCAGGGGTTAGAGGTCTCCTGAATTAACTTTGCAGCACTAAATTACCAGCCCTTGGGTTCTGGGCTTATTTATGTATTTCCCCCCAATTTTGCAAGGCCTGGGAGGAGACAGAGGCAGCGCGCTGGTCTAAGCTAGAACATGCAAAACACGCCAAGTTTGCGGGGGGCAGCCTCAAAATAAGTAGCTTTTTGCTGCTGTTATTGCACGTTGCATCACAGGCTGTAGTGGAATGAAGCATCTGTAAGGACGGGCTCCAAGGCAGCACCTGGACAGATTTTGAGACAATCCTGTAATTGCAACCACTGGAGCAAACCCGGGAGCTTAAAACCCAACCCAACAAAGCAGGCAACGTCCGCTGGGAGTGTGAGCCTCGCCGCAGGCCCCGGCGCGGGCTGGTTTTGCCTGCGCTGCTCCCAAAGCGCTGGCTTAATTGTGGCTTACCAAGTGCCAACACTGAGCTTAGAGGGACGCCAGGCCAGGCCTGGTGCAGAGGGGGCAGCCCTGGAGCTCCCGGACAGCCAGGCCCAGGGGGCAAACACTTCGAATCACACAAGCCCCTACAGAAAAGGCTGCCGCAAAGCTTAGATGAGTTTTAAAGGAAAACTTGCCGGGAAAGCCTAGATGTGGGAAAAAGGGATGTGAGCAGCTTCCCAGGGGAGAGCAGGGAGCAGACGGGACGCCCGGGAGCTCGGTGGGCAGCGAGGCTCTGCCAAGGGCATGGAGAGACTTCAGCAGCTCGGGAGCCGGGAAAGCTCCCGGATTATCCACCGTGGAGGAGCAGCCCGTGATGGTGTCCTGAGCCGGTCAGGGGCTGCGCAGGCCCGGAATGACTTCGGGATGTGGGCGACGTGTCTTGCTTCCAAATACCTTTCATAAATGGATGCAATCATTGCCGCAAAATCCTCAGCAAAAACTCCTTCAATTCTACGGGATGTAGGGAAAAAAAAGGCACTTTCTTGCAAAACTGCCAAAGTTTTGTGTGGTACCTGTCCTTCAGCAACACCTCTACTTGCCTTTTATATATTTATATATACCTATGTGTATAGGCACACATAAGCACATACATATTATATATATGTATAAAAAAACTATAGATATATAGCTATTGATATAGACACAGATCTATATATATAACATATAAATAATATATAACTGTAGATCTATATCTATGTCTGTAGCTGTATAGGTATAGTCATATATATCTATAATTTATATATAGTGATATAGCTACATAGATATATAGCTATACATTATATGCATGTTCTATACATAACTATAGATCTATATGTCCACATCACACACCTATAAACTATAGATATATAATTATACCTATATAACTATATAGATCTATATGGTCTATATATAACTACAGATACATAATTATCTATGCAACTGTCTATAACTATATATCTATCTAAATAGATATATCTATTTAGATTAGATATATCTATTTTTTTAGATATTTAGATATATCTATTATTATACACCTAGATATCTAAATAGATAAAATCAGTCATACATCTACATATACATATATAACTACAGATATAGATGTACAGTTACATTTATATATATTATACATATATTAGCTGTCTGTCTATCGATCTATGTCTATCTATCTCTTGCTAATGGGGGTCTCATTTGCAAGGGGGGGTTGCCGGCCGGGAGCGCGGTTTTGCCCAAACGCCACCCTCTCTTGCACCATAAACCTATGGTATTTATTTTACCTGTGCACTAACTTCCATGGAACAAAACAACATTTACATCTGGGATCAATTTGCTTGAAATTAAAGCGCAGCTGCTATATCTCTTCCGCATCAAAAGGACAGTGTTAAGGCTATAACATACAGACAGTTGCACATTACTTTGCACTGTAATATTTAGATTTGTGTCATTTTCTATCCAAAGTAAAAAGCGTCTTTAAATAAATGAGTGCTCCGATGCTGCATATTTTATGGGCTGCGTGCCCGGCGCGATGCACGCGCGTCCGTGTGCGCCCGCGGGACCATGGCGGCTTTCCAGGGCTCCCTTTCCCCCGGCACCTGCAACATTCGGAATCGGGGCGACAAGAACCTGATCTTCATCTTTGCAACGTGCCTATGTTACGGCCCCGTTGCTCGAAAAATAAAGCCGAGGGCACGCGGTGCAGGACTGCGCTGCCTCCTGCTTTAGCAGCTTGCTGCTTCTGCACACGGGGTTTGCTGCAGGAACGTGGGATGCTCCCAGGTGCCCATTTTGGCGCTTCCTGGGACACGCGCACGGCTCTTCCGCCGGCATCGCCCGCTCCTGCTGCGGAGGGCTGGGCGGCTCCGCAGGGCCCAGCCGCAGCCCGTGCTGCTCTCCTGGCGCCGGGCTGCGTCCGCACCATCGTCTTGGCTGCAAAAACCGAGTTTAGACATTCTGGGGACACGTGGGGCGCAGTGTGCGGCTCCCGCGCCCGGAACGGCGGCATCGAGCTCGCTGCAAACATGGAAATGCAGCGCTCCCCAGATCCCCTGGCATCGGGGAGTGTGTGCACGGGAACACATGGAGCGGGGAGAGCGCCCGCGTGCACCAGCCGGGCGGGCTGCAAGCGAGGGCCGCTCCGCGCCCAAACGGGCCCAAAACGGGGGCGGCGCGGCGGGCGCGGGGGCTTCCCGAGGCGCTAGTGCCCTCTGTTGGGAACGGTCCCGAGGAGGCCGCGGCGCCGCGCGGGAGCCAGCGCTCCGACGCGCTGCGGCTCGCACCCGCGACGCCAACGTTGGCGGCGGCCTCTCCGCTCCTTTGTTGCTACCGCGTGTTCTATAGAACAAAACCCTCCGCCAAACTGTACATATTATAAGGCTATATTTTTGTCTCGGGGTTCTGGTGACACGTACAAACCACTTGAGCTTTGCTTTCGTGCTTTATATTGCCACCAGAAACCCTTGATAAAAATACGGCTTTATATTGTACAGTTGGGTATAGTTTATTTTCTCCATATATCACATACTGTGTTTTATTTATAAACATACACAAAGACACTTGCACATGCAAAGCAGTTTTTTTATTGAAGAAATGCTACGGTATCAATAGTACTATATTAACTAACGCATTGCAACACAATAATTTCTTGGTTAGCAATGGCCTTTCTAAAGAGGCACCTATGAAAATATGATAAACCACATAAAAATCAGGACTTCTGTGTAAGAATTTATGATTCCCACACTGGAAATTCCAGCTGCTGCCGGCTCGTCCTTCCACAGAGCCCTTTTTAAACAACAATCAGAAAATTTAGCTCAGTGTCTCCTGAACGGCGGAGCCCTCGCTGCAGAGAGGCTCCGGGAATTAAAGCTTTCCGGAACAGAGAAATGCCAAAACATAAGGAAATCCAGCCCTGAAAGCAAAAGCGTTGCTGGAGCCAAACGGCGCAACCAAGAGCATTTATTGCAAGGCTCTGTGCACGCCGCCGCACCCGCCCGCCGCCGCGCTCCTCCCGGTCCCTTCTCCGGGCTTTAATGGACATTAAAAATAGAACAAAACAGCGCTGGAGACGGGGGCGGAATACATGCACACCCGGCCCGCGCGGCTGTACGCATTCTGCTGTAAAATGTAAAAACAAGAAAGGGCAGACGAGCTGCATCCCTCAGGACACATCCAGCTCTTTTAATACAGCGGTGCCACCGCACATTCCACTTTGGACGCTGCATTTTATTTGTATGTCACTCAAATATTTACCATTTTCCTGAGTGGTGGCGAGCGGCAGGGCGGCTCGCGGCTGCTCGGGAGCATCAGCCGTCCAGCTTGTCCTTGTGCAGCTTCTCATGCGACAGCAGCCACTGCTTCATGAGGGCTCCCCCTCCGTACTGGCCCAGGTCCCCACTGCTGCGGATCACTCGGTGGCACGGGATGATGATGGGGATCTGGAAAACACAGGGAAACGGTGCTCAGAGCCACCATCAGCAGCTTCCCAGAGTCCCACTCACTCAACCCCCTGGCTAAGCAGCGTTTTGGAGGTGCTGAGAGCATCCTCCTTCCCAAAGAGCAAATCATCCCGAAGGAGAAGAAAAACTAGCCCAGCAACCCCCATGGAAGTCATCTCCTCCCTCTCTAAGCCCTGCATTTGCAAATGGTGATTTTCCTGATTTTTCCCCTCTTCCCAGAGTTGCTAAATTGAATAAAGTCTAAGGTTGCAGGAGGCTAGAAGCTAAAATGAATTACTGTCGTGTAGCCCAAGTGCTCCAGCTCTTCACCTCTGGCTACCGCCGGGCACTGACACGTTTCCTGGCGCGTAACAGCGTTTTTCATATAGAAAAATTGCAGCTCCCTGGTATCAGACAGACTCGCACGTGGTCGTTCTTTCAGCGAAACAAGCTCCTGCTCGTGGCAGCTACTTTTCAAATCAAAGAACACGCAAATGCCTTGAGTAACACGCCGGTGGATTTATTAATGATCCTCACTGGACGGTCCTTAATTATAGAGCCTCCTAATATTAAAAAGCAGATTTTAAAGAAGGATAGAACTTTATTTTCAGGCATATTTCTATTTTCTTTTTTTTTCCCCTCCAAACTGGGCTCCCCGTGAGCTCCTCCCAGCCCGGAGACGACTACATGAAGATGGGCGCACACCTCCACAAGCAGATTTTGCAGAAGTCTTTAGGAGGGAGGCAGGGCCACGAAGAAGGTTCAAGCACTTTTGGGTCAAGGAGGAAAGAGCAGGAAGCAGGAGCGGACCAGGCTCTCCCTGACTTGTGTTCCTGAGGATCCGAGTGGGAGGAGGATGCAGATGGAGACCAGATCCTGGCACCTTCACATGGGGACCCACCAAAGCCTTGGCTCAACTCAAAGCTCAACACGAGGCAGCTCCAAGGAGCATCACAGAGTCAGCGCGGAGGTGACCACAAATGCACCAAGTGAAGAAAACGGAAGAAACAAGCAAACAACAGAAGGCCACAAAACCCTAAGAACAACCCTCCCCTGAGCAGGAGCCCCAAGTCGCCATCGCCTCCCTCCATTTCTGCTCTTGGCTTCCCGGTGTCCTGATGAAAAATTCTATATAAGAGCAAGGTGCTATTTATTATTTAGCAGCAAGTCAATCCAAAATGGGTTGTGAATTTTTTAAATCTACAACAGCAGAGATTTAATTCACACCTAACCAATTTAAGAACTTTCTTCCTACCATCTACTTTGTTTCATTTATAGCCAAATGTCAAGGATTTTGAAAAAAAAATCAATGTAAGTTACATAATAGGCCGATAATGTACAGAAGTACATAAATGCATTTTTTTATTACAGGTGATTATCATCGTTGAAGTACACATCATAAAAAATGCAATGCATCATCTTTAATAGCCCAGTATGTGTTTTTGTAAATGCATAGTAATTCAAGTGCAGTGATAACTGTGAAAGGAACAACTTGCCAGAAAGTGTGGTTTTTACAAATTGGGTATGTTAAGTCCCAAAAATACATATTTATTTGAATACAGACAGACACAAACTGAATACATTGCACTGAGCTATTTTAACCGTATTTCATGTTTATTTGAGCAGAGCTCAGGCTGCGCACGTATTAGAGCCCAGGGCACAGAGAGCCCGGCGTCGCTGGACACCTCAGGACAGCCCTTTAGACGTGGCTTTGGGGGCTATTTTGGCGCGGATCCCATCGGGACTCCACTGTGCTCTGCCTTTGGGATGGAAACGCAACAGAAAGAGCAGGACGCTCTTAGGACGGGGCGTCGAGTGAGCTTGGACACGAGTCAAATGCTGCAGACCCTGGAAATGCGATGAGAGGGCTCAAAGGCATGACAAAAATAAAGCTTCTTCCATGCCCCAAAACACAGGATTTTGAGCCCAGCTGGTGGGAGCAGAGGCTCCCACGTCCCCCTGCACAGGGACACGTGTAAGAGAAGGCCAGTACGGAGACTCTACCCGCACTGCTATTTAGAAACACCCAATATTGCTCCGGTTCGGTTTAATTGTGGTGACAACTTTGAGACTACTAAAATAATTAAACCTGCTAAAATTTATTAGGGCCCTCAGGACATTTTAGAAGGAATACTATCCTAGTCCTCAGCTTTAGTGCCTCGGCTACATTTAATGTAATTTTTATCAATAACCAAGCAGCTCATAATATTATAGCTCCACTGAAATCTTCACGCTGTGAAATCTAATTCATCCAGTACGTGAGCCCATCACTTACACAGCCCCTCTCGGAAACGCTATAAAACTTCCAAACCCGCAGCTTTGTCTCCAACAAAAACAACACGGAGGGGCCTCTCCATCGACCCGGGATCCCTCTGATTCCGGTACCAGCTGAATATTTTCTCCAACTTCTTCTTTTGTTCTTCTGGGTAGAGCCCACAAGGGAAAGCGCTTGTTTTCACTCGCAGCCTCATCAATACCTAAATCCTGGTGAACAAGTGACACTGAGAAGCTGTAATCAATAGCTCCCTGTGCGTTTTTTCTTCTGGTCAAATGGTTCAGCACTACTGACAGGCCTGACACTGAGAACATGATGCTAAATCTTTATCAGCAGCCATCGAGGTGACTGGCAGAACAAGGCTCGGGCGGTCATTAACGCTCGTGGCAATCGGAGAATAAACTAACTCCTCGAGAACGCGTTTGTTTAGGAAACGGTGGGGAGAAACCCTCGCCGTGCGCCGCATCGATTGCTTTGAGCTGCATTTAGCACGTCCGCCGCAGCCGGAACACCGGGATAGCACCGGGACAGCACCAGGATTGCACCGAGATAGCACTGGGATAGCACTGGGACTGCACCAGGATTGCAACGAGATAGCACTGGGATAGCACTGGGACTACATCAGGATTGCACCGGGATTGCACCAGGATTGCACTGGGATAGCACTGGGATAGCACCGGGACAGCATGGGGATAGCACCAGGATTGCACCAGGACTACACCGGGATAGCACCGGGATAGCATCAGGATTGCACCAGGATACCACTGGGATTGCACCGGGATAGCATCAGGACTGCACCAGGACTGCACCGGGATAGCACCGGGATAGCATCAGGATTGTACCAGGACTGCACCGGGACAGCACCGGGATAGCACCAGGATAGCAATGGGATTGCACTAGGATAGCACCAGGATAGCAATGGGATTGCACTAGGATAGCACCAGGATAGCACCGGGATAGCAAGGGGATAGCACCGACTGTGGAAAACCACGCTTGGCAAAAACCAACCCTCCGCTTTGCTCGCGTCCTGTTGCTTTTTCTCCCCCTGTTCCCTTATAGAAACAAATACCGTAATATGAAGCAGCGTGGGCTCGGGTTTATTGCGAGCCACCTAAGGAATTAATGCACAAGTAGTTGTATGTGTTTGCAACACCACAAATCCATACCTCACAAGCTTCTCTTAAATGCACAATTACTCTATTCAGTCTGGAATGTTTAAAACATTTTGGCTGAATAATATCCTTGACACACGCTAGATCGATGCCAGCATCAAGTTATACCCTTAGTTAGGCTTCACCCTGAGCAATAACACAATCAGGTAGAAGACAGGAAAAACCTCGTGGAGCTGCTGCTGCTGTAAGCAGAGCACTGCAGACATCTCATTTAAGCCACGGCGAGTCACTTAGGATGGCCTTGGACTAATCAGCCCAACACTCGCCGTGTCCCAGGAGTCTCGGTGCTTTCTTTTTGATCCTCCTGTACCAGTCTAATGAGATTTTTAATTGAACTTTGTGGGTTCCCTTTGAGGACCACAGAGCTCGCGGTCACTCCCAACTGCACTAAACTCTCCGAGGAGTTTCCTGCGAAAGGTGGGCGACCCGTCCCGGCCCCTGCACGCGCCGGAGCTGCCGCGCCGGGCACCTGCCGAGCAGCCAGCCACCCGGCGCCTGCAAGGCAGGAACAGTGTGAATTCCGTGGAGAAAGGCACGGTATGAAAATGTATCAAAATACGTCATTTTGATCAACGACATAAAGTCATTTAGTCACATATAAAGTCACATATCTAGCTTTGATAAACTAGAGAGGAAGTCTAGTGTCCAGTCCTACACGTAGTGCTGTTTTACACCAAACACTTGTTTTTACTAATATTACTCTCCTCATCAACTCATGTTTATAACTTAGGCATCCAGACCATACTTGGACAGAAATTCCCACCACGAGAGGAATGGAATTGCAGTGTGATAGGAATCCACTGGGATTACGTGCTTGGGAATATTCCTGCGAGCACCGTTTGCTGTTAACAATCCCAAGAAGCATCTCAAGGTGCAAACAAGTTAGGATTTTGCGTAGCTTTGGTCATAGTCATTAACAAAACCCTTCATTAAAGTTTTAGCTCCTCTCTTGTAAACAGAAATCACTAGTCTGCTCTCTCTGCATTTCCTGCACAGCTAAATTTCTCCACCCATTTATTTAGCACGTGGCTGGAGGGCAGGGGAGCATCCTCATTAAGAGGATAGTGGAGATCACCACTTTCGTGCACTAATTTTGAGCAAATAGTGCTCAGAAATGGTGCTTTATTTTCCAGTTTGGGTTACAGCTGCAGCAGTTGCTAATGCCACAGTCCTCGGAAGAATTTTTGCTAATATTTTAATGATGCTGCAGTGTGACGGCATGTTCACTTTAATGAACTGTATAGGCAGACTTAAAGCCCAGCATCTCACCTGATAAACTGACTTCAAGTGTGTTTACAAGTGGATGATGTTCTCGGTTATCCTAAAATCCTATGCGCATTGTGCACTACCCCATAAACTAACAAATTGCCTGATGTGTTTAATGTTTTAAGTCCAATAAGGAAGGATGCTGTAATAGTTTAAGTATATATGAGATTTTCATACGAAGCAGTTCATATAAACAGCATAAAGCTATGTTTTGTCAATACACTGCATTGTGCTTGACAATACAAACTATTTTAATATGATGGAATGATTTCCAATATAATATGGTGTACGTTAAGCTAAGGCAATACAATGCAAACCTACAGGAAGCAGTTCTCAAAGAATAACAATACGGTGTTGTGCAAAAGGATATGTAATTGCTATCGCCTAGAAATGTACCCAGCTTTGCCCTCAGGCTGCAGTGGAGCAGCAGCATCCAAAGCGGCGGGAACAGCAGGTTGCGGTGTGAAAATTCCTGCTTTCTCCCCTGTGAGGAAGGATGAAAATAGTTCTGAAAATATACAGCAAAGCTACCGCAATTTTTTCTTAAATGGGGTCCTATCTTATTTTTGTTTTTGTTTTTTTTTTTCCCATCCCACACTAGAGCTGTAGTGTTTTCCGTCTGCAGCAGGAAAATTTTTAAGCATATTATAGCTACTACTGTATAGCTTTAGGGGAAAAGAGCTATATAATACCGCCCCAATATCTCACAATAGAAAGCAGCTGATAAAAAATAATCGGCACTGTAATGACAGCCCTGCCTCTCCAAACCACATTTTTATTCCTACACATCTCCTGTCTTGTAGTTAATCTGTAATTTCATGTGTATTGCACAGGAAAGCACACATATAGAGCTTTTATACTTCAAGGGGACTACCTTTTCACCGTGTGCTTCTCACATTTTCCATATAAGTCTCCATGTAGTCATTTAGAGCTACGTATAATAATACGGAGGTTGGCTACACGTTAGATTTTATGAATGAGGAGAAACAGAAAGATAATACATAGCATGGAAAACAAAAAGCCAAAATCCAAACAGCCTCGCAAGCTTTATTATTTGTACATGTAAAGCCACCAGGTCTGGTAAAAGCAGATTTTTTGAATTCACTTTGCAACTACACGCTGCAGCCTCATATGTATCTTATTAAAGAAAAATGGGAGAGGGCTGAATGCAAAAACAACACGGGAGGTCAAAGTCTACAGCAGGTATAATGCTGCAGAGAAGAGAGGCATTAAGGTATGGAAACACACGTGTTGCTGAGGGCAAGCGGTAATAAGGAAAAACACGTTGAAGAATGGCTGAAAAGGCCAGGGTGTTATTAATAGAAATCAAACTTTATTTTTTTAAGGCAAGAAGTAACGGAATCTGTGAAAAGCAAAGGCGGGGAGGCTTTCTCTTTGCTGGCTTTTGCCTTGGTTGGCAGAACATGGAGGCTGCCCCGCGCAGCCCTTCACCCACGGGCTGCTCCCCGTGCCCTCAGAGTATAAATATATCAGAGCTGGACAGCCTCGAGAGCAAGAAAACCACCAGCAAGGCAGGCAAAGAGCCCAGCTATTCCAATATAATGTTTCTCCCCAATCCATAGGGCTAACCTAGGCAGCTGCTCCTTCCAGCTGGCAACCCATCTCAATGCACGCATGCTATTGTGGATGGGAAAAAATAAAAAAAGGAAAAAAAACCCCAACAACATGAAGAAACGTTGTCAAACTAAATTCTGTGTTAGGATTTGGTTCAAATGTGGACCTACATGGATTAAAATCCTTCCTTTTACACATCTCCCAAAATATTTCCATGTCACAGAGGACGGGCTCCTGGTAAGCCAAAGCCCCCACGTCCTGTCAGTGGTGCCAGTGTCGAGTGACACACATCTCCCTTGTCTAAGGGGTCAGAAACGTGGAGAGCAGCAAGCCGCGTACGGGCCAACAAACTCAAACGAGCGCAGGGTTCCCCGGTCCAACCTGCCAGCGCCCCAACGTTCGGGATAAACCATATTAAACGGGGCTGTGCATTGCCGCTGGCTAGAAACGTATGGCTGGTGGCAGCGCTGTTTTTGCAGCAGATAAATGCAATTTCCTGGTGTTGATCCCGCGTTGCTCCCCATCCCGTGCTGTACTCACGGGGTTGCTCTGCACGGCGCTCCCCACGGCGCGCGCCGCCTTGCCGCTGCCGGCCAGCGCCGCCAGCCGCTGGTAGGACACGGCCTCGCCGAAGGGCACGGCGCCCAGCAGCCTCCACAGCACCTCCCGCGTGAACGACGCTGCGGAGAGAACGGCACAGGGCTCAGCCTGGGAAAAACACGCGGGAGAATGACACAAAAACCGCCCGGAGCCAAAGCCCGCGCGCGACAGCTACGTGCTAATTTAAATGAACGCGGCCCGGACACACTCTGCTGTTATTGTATCCTCTAGTGCTATATTTAAATACATGATTATTAGAAAGAGAGCTTCGAGTAACCAAGCACTATAAAAAAAGGATTTAAGGCTTTGATTTTCCTATATTTTTAATTTGCTTCAAGTACAATTATCCTGCTAACTCAGACAATGCGCTTTCTCATTTAATTGGCAGAGTACAAATTAGCATAGAGTCAAATTAAAAAGGCAAGGAATAAGTGGCTCTCCCTCCTTTCCGGAGGCAGCCCTGGCATCTCCGGGTGATTCCCGTCTCCAGCCGGGATGCTCCAGCTCTCCAGCCGGACACTGCAATGCATCCGGACACCCCAGCCATGCCGGGAGCTGGGAAATGCTGCTTCCACCCCAATTCTGAATTTAATTCCCCAGCAAATTGCTTCTAAAGTGCTCCGGCTGCTGAAGCCGTGAATAAGAAAATGCATTTGAGGCAGTTCCCTTCTGCACTTCCAAAGTTTACTTTTTCCAAATTTTCCAAATCTTTGTTTCCAAATTTTACTTTCTTTCCAATTTTTACAAGCAGGTATATTTACAGGAGGGAAGCCAGTGGCCACTGCAGGGTTCGAGCTTGCTTTAACACATACTGCTCTTCGAGGCACTGGTAAAAGCTCTGGAGACCTAACGGGCAATGCCTTAGCGAGAGGAGCACCCTGGGGAGCAAATAAAACAAAAAATGGGGGGAAAAGCCCCCAAAAGCCCCTTGCCCTCAGTCACCACCTCCCTCTTCCCCCTTGGCCAGGAAGCAAACTAATTAAAAACATTTTCTTTCTGCAGTTGTCATAAAAAGACACGGGTTGTGTTAGGCAGGAGCCCGGCGAGATGTGGTTTTGCTCTGAGAGGAAGCCCATGCACCCTTCTGTAGGTGTTAAATAATAAAAATCACTTCTTAACTGAAGGGAATGATAATCACTTCATTGAAAAAATCTGTTTAGTCTTTATTATAACATTAAGCAAATTAAACATCAGCATAATCCAGGTGATACGAGAAAAGGGTCATCAAAGAAATTAACTTTGTTGTTCATTAATTTACATGGATTAGTAGAGGGCAAAGAGATAGCAAATCTGCTCTAGTTTTTTTATGATATAATTTCAAACTGTACACCATTTGTGGCAGTAGGGTGACTTTGGGGTTAATCAGACTGATTTGTCCTTTTAATTGCTTTCTATTCAAAGAAAATTCATTAGATAATGTTCTCTTCAAAATTCATGAATCAATTTAACTGAAGAAACCACATTAACAGCTTTGGGTTCATTAGCACAAGCAGTTGTGTTACTAGCTGATTGCTGCGAGGGTTTCCTTAGGCAAACACATTTTGTTTACTGTGATTCCTTTGCAAAGGTTTGTTCCAAATCAAAAGGTTACTTCGCTTTCCTGCTTTTTACCCGCTTTCTAAGCCATCGAGCTCAGTGTGAACCCAGAGCCCGGGGGCTTTGGGCGCTGCCGCCCGGTGCCGTCGGGCTCTGAACGGGCCGGCACTGCAGAATGGGGCAAAACGGCGAGAAATCAGCGCCGTGCGCGGCTCCCGCCACGTGAAACACGAGGGGTCAGAGCTGCAAACAGGGAAACCTCTTGCAATCGTGCCCCTCGTTGGAGAAACGTATCTGAAAACTCAATCTCATCCTGCAGGGAGCAAATGCATTAATTAGTTTAAGCAGCTCTACGAGACGCTGCCAAATACTGTTATTAAACTGTCTGCGAGTGCTCGTGCCTGTAAGCATAACCTGCCCAAATTAGATGGCTGAACTTTCACCAATTTTCAGCGGGTGCCAACATTTTATGCTGTTAAATATCATTATGAAATGTTGTAAAACGTGCCCATAAAAATTAACGTGCTCGTTCTCCCCCTCCGCGGGCTCTACCCGACGCCATCTCCCAGGATGTGGCGCTCGGATGCTCACATGGCATCGCACACGTTTCCAGAGCAAAGTGAGCAAAAGCGAGGGGAACCCACACAGACTCGTGTGGGGAAATGCATCCCAAAACCAGGCTAATCATCAAGGCACGGGATGTCTAAAATCGGGTGCTGCAAACATCTGGCAAAACCAGCCCAAACTTTAGTTTTTGATGTTTTGTCCATCCCAGCCCTAGTGAAGGGCTCATTTCCTGCCCCCAAAAGCCCAATATTTGCAAACAGGAGCAATCACATTTATCCTTCCACACTCTGCCACCACACAACACGCGTATGTGTATTTATGCATAATAATAAACACACTTAAGCTCTAATTTATAAAGCCAATACTATATTTCTGTAAGACTTAGGTGAAAATCTCTCAACATATTTTCTTTGAGCATAGCTCCTATTTTTGGTGGGCTCGCAGTAAGTGGCCAAGCCGTGCTGAAACCCAATTAAT